ACATATTTTCTAATTCACTTACTTATGCTGTTTCTTAGCTTATTAATCTTTAACGGCTCATAAATCATGCCTAAGAATGCCTATAAAGAGATGGGAGTGAAGATATGTACTTAAAACATCTTTTGAAAACATGCTGAAAATAAGTTGGTGGCTAGAGCCAGCAAAAGGCAAAAACAGAGCTCGCTCGAGCTAGAACTCCTTCGCTCGAGCCAGCTTCTGTAGAGTTCAAAATTCTGAGAGCTCGTAATGTTGGCTCAAGCCACCACTTCTTCGCTCGAGCTAACTGTAAATTTTTGAGCACCAAGCTTAACAAAAATGGCTTCCAACCACCTTCAAACCTTGGGTTCTTGCATGGTTTGATCAAACACATAAAATAGCTTTAGAAAACTTCAATACAAGACCCTTGAAACATCTTTTATTCAAAAACTCATCAATTCTTGAAAGATTTGAATCAAAATTCCTTCATGCAATATTTCAACTCTTTTCATGGTTTTCATAACATGCAATTGGTGATCAAGAAACTCATGAATTTCTGAAACATGGACATAATTAAAGCTCACATGCATGCAAGGACTTTAAAACTCAAACTCAAAATGATAAAATTCAAAGATGATCTACCATGAATACTCATGAAAGCCATCTACATGTTCAAAGACCCATTTTCTTGCATTCTCATGAAAGTAGCTCAAAACTTGATGAAATCATGATGCATGGAGGAATAGCTACAGAAATTAGACACACAATCCTTACCCAAGGCTTTAATTTCAGAAATGTGAGACGAACCCTCCTAGTTTCTTCAATCTCTAGCACAAAAACAAGCTTCTCTCTCTAGAATGAGCTATATCTCTCTCTAGCTCAAGACATGGATGAACTCAATGAAGCCAAATGAATGATACAACATTTCCAACTCATTAGAATATACACAACACACACCTCACTTTGAGCACAATACACGTGCACACACATGCAAAATTCCAACACACACACACACAAGGGTTTTAATCCCCTACACTCAACACCACAAAATGTCTTAGTACATCATACACTTAATCACATCTTGGATCATTAATAGGGTTAGATTAGGTACCAATCATGCATCATTTAAATCAAACACAATTAACCTTAATTAGTCAAGGTTAGCACAAAATTCAATTATTCAAAAATAGTTCCAATTAAGGCTTAATTTAATCACATGCGATTTTACTAAACTGAATCAGTTTTTAGCAAAACTTCTCAGATGGTTCCAAAAATTCTAATTAGTCAATCCATGTGCTCAATTTCAGTTTCTGAGACCGTTTAGGCTATCAAATTCATATCAGAGCATAAATCATTTCATATCAAAGCATAAATCATGATAGATATTACTACGAGTAGCAGATTGAAGGCCCAAATAACATACAAAATACATAATAAACACATAACTTTTTTTAACCACTTAATTAACATCCTTAATTACGGATTAGTAGTTAATTACAGAATAGGGTTGTTACAGGCCACCACAATTACGATCAATTTCCTTATCAACTAAAGAGAATAGACCTCTGTACAAGGTACCTAAAAGAAAATGAGCAAAGGCCAGTTCTATGCCTTCTTGAATACATGTGGCAAGAGCTAAATATTCCTTAGTAATTTTAAAACCAGGAACACACAAGAAGTGTTGAAAAAGCCACAATAGGTAAAAGGTTGTTCTTTCTTCATCTGAGGGTTCAAGGCCAAACTTTTGATATTTAGTCTGGAATTTTCCATAACTAAGGTCAGTATCGAATTTGATAGGTGTGTGCACTGATATGTTGACCAGAAGTAGGGAGGCCAGTTAAATGAACAACATCAAGAATGGTGAAAGAAATCATACCATACCTTAGGATAAGGGAGTTGCAGGAAACAGACTAAAAGAGCAGCACTGATGGCCCAATTGTCCATGTCTAGGGCAAAGGTTGACAGTCTAATGGCATAATAAATCCCTAAAGCCCTCCAAAGATCAATATCGTATACCATCATTTGCTAGACCCAAAGTCTCTAGTCAGGGTTAGGTTTTTACCATGAGCGCAGAGGGTTAAGGCTTAAGTCCCAATGATGCCAAGCCAGCTTTGCTTTATTGAAGAGCATCATTTCGGTGTCTGCAATAGGATAATAATGAGTAAGTTCATCAAGAATGGTTGCAGTGAAAGTAGGGCCCAATTCCCCTTGTGTAGAACTATCGCGGCGAGGAATAATGCAGCTGTTGAAGATGTGTTGACGGAGTAGCTGCTGGAAGTCAGTTGGGAAACGTTGCACAGATAACGTGTTTACTTGTTTCTTTCCTTTGGTTTAAGCTCGTTTGGGTGCCATTGGAGTGTATGAGCAAAAAAGGGTTTCAAAGCAGAAGGTCTGAAAAGGCAAAGAACAGAGTAAGGTAGAGGAAATGAGAGTAGTGAAATGATTATTTGAATTCTGACGTTCAAATAGCTTATGGTAGACCCTCACGATTGAGTTTGGGCCTGTTGACAATTTAGGCTTAATAGTTGGGCCTATTTAATTCTTGTTTTGGATCAATTTTAGTATTTGGATGTTATTATAAATATTTGGGCTTTAATACGTGGGTTTGTTTTTATAAACCTAAACGAACTACCCAAATATATAAGTGTCCAAGCCTTATTTTGTCCTTTCTGACATTCATTCAAAACAAAAACATCTTTTTGTCTTCAATGAGAGCGGCATTGTTGGCACTAAAATTTATCTTCTCTGTCGAATAAGCATAACAAATACAGAGAGTTGGTTCAGTGGATGCTAGGAGTAAAGATCACGAATTTACAGTGAGAGGTAGGGGTGTGCATAATACCGCCGAAACCGCCGAAACCGCCAAAACCGCACCGAACCGCACCACCAAGGCAAATTCGTTATTATTTTCCAATCGAACCGCCGGTTTTTGGTAAGAAAAATGGCAAATTCTAGTGACATTTTTATCAATCCGCCGGTTTCTATTTTTCTTCCAAACCGCACCGACCCGCACCGCTATTAAATCATGTTTTATAAGATTCTAAAAATTCTTTTTTACTTAAGTTTGCTTGTTATGTTGCAAACTTGCATCAGCTCACTTTTCAATTTAAATACTTTTTAACAGTAAACATTTTCAATATATTGTAAACCCTGAATGATATTAATTTTATGTATTGTATTTGATCATTGTAGCTTACACAAATGCTTGTAATGAACTGATGGCATAGTCGTTGATATTATTATGTTGTTGCTACACTTGATGCATCAGAAGAAAGCTTCGCAAGATGCTTAACATCCCAGTATCTCTCGTCTTTTTTTTACTCTTTGATTTAAGTTTTGTAATTTGAATTATATTTTTTATAAACCGCCAATCCGCCCGAACCGCCAAGGCAAATCCGCCATTATTTGCCAACCGAACCGCCGGTTTTTGATAAGGAAAATGGCAAATTCTAGTGATACTTTTATCAATCCGCCACCCGCCATACGGTTTCTATTTTTCTCTCAAACCGCACCGACCCGCACCGCGCACACCCCTAGTGAGAGGTGGATCCTAGAATACAGAGCAAGTGGCAGAAGTGAAACAGTTAAAGGAGCAAATGTAACAGTTGCAGTTTTTCCTGTCAATTTATCTAGTAATGCAGCAAGATGTGGCCAAACGTAGCCCAAGTGTCAAACCATGAAGATAGGCATGCAAGGGATGCAGGATATGTGTCTTATTTACAAGAGAAAGAGGATGTTGTAGTAGAGAAGCAGTTACCAGTGGTTATGGAGATCATGAGCAGTTATACAAGAAGTGGAGGTAACTTGCTCTAGGATGGGACACGTGGCAGCAGAGAAGTAGCAAGACCAACAGCATAAAGGCTGGAAATTCAAAGAAAAGATGATCTTCAATCAAATTCACAACCTATGTGGAATTAAAAGTAATTTAACTTAGTTAGCAATAGCTTCTGTGTTCATATTTGTTTATTCGCATTACAACCTCCAAAGAAGTTCTTGAATTTGTCAAGGCATAGGACACTAACCACAATTGCTTGATCTGTTTGTTGTGTGTAAAATTTTGGTTATTCTGTCGAATCACCTCTGTCAATTTGACCCAAACCAAATTTTTGCTAACAGTTATCTTATGTTTATTTTTTGTGTTTACAAATCATATATATATATACGTGTTATTTGTTTTACTTTCTTTTTTTTTTAAATATCAAAAACCAAAATATATTTCAAAACTTTCTTTAAATACATAAAACTGTCAACATTATGTATCAAAAAATTATAACTGTCAACATTTAGGGCTAGTTTGTCCCCCCCAAGTATTTCTTTGTTTTAATTAATTTACAATCATTCAATCATATGAAAATTTTAAGATATAGAAATTTTTAACGTATCAAACTTACAAATACTAGTCTATGTACCATGTCCGACTTGATAGTAACAACTAAACTTAATGGATAAATTACACTTTATCCCCTTTATATTTGATCATTTTCTTACTGTGACCTTTCAAGTTCATTTTTTTCTCTATTTGGTCTATTATGTTTCAAATTTTTGCATAATTTACTCTCAAAGCTAACTTCTATTTAAAATTAAATAGAAAATGTCATAATAACTATCACATAATATAAAAAATATATTAATATAATTTAACTTTATGTAAAAGATGTGAGCTATATAAAATAAAATATTTTTATTTTACGTGACTGTTAATGTGTCATTTTCTATCTAATTTTTAACATAAATTAACTTTACGAGTAAATTAAAAAAAAAAAAAAAACTTAAAATAAGAGAAGTCAAAATGGAATAAAACAAACTTTAAAGGGTTAAAGTAAAAAAATGACCAAACATTAAAGAGACAAAATGTAATTTATCCAAACAAAATCTTAAAAATTGTCAATACCCTATCCACAACACTTTTTTTTTTTTTTTTTCCTTTGCAATAATCTTGTGATAATTTATAACAATTCAATTTAAAATTGAGACAAAACAACATCCCTTTAGAGAGACTTAAAATAAATAGTAGATCAATGTCATTTTACTTTAATTTTAAACTAGTCATTGGATTGGATTTTGATAACGTGTAAAAACATTACATGATTTGATCACTCAATGAACACATTCAATATCCAAATATAACCTAAACCCCCGAAACAAACTCAAAAAGCTCAGGGAAAGGACAAAGAGCATAAACAAATATATAAAAACATGTCAAACTAACCCAAACTACATATAACATGGATTTTACAAAATTGGTGTTGCATCAAGCATATCAGTCTTCTTACACTAGGCATTTTACCATGTAAGGACCTTCAAGTTCATAGCCCAATTTCCTATAGTAATGGCGGGTTCCTACACCTGAAATAACGGCCATCTTTGTTGACCTATGCTCCCTAAGAGCAATCCGCTCAGCCTCCTCCATTAGCAGTGTGCCATAACCCTACGAGGAAAATAACTCGTTAGAGAGAGAATCAGAATGCAATTAAGTAAGATACAGATTTGATTCCCCTCCTGTTTGCCCGATTTATAGGCATAGAGTTGGCCTTTGAACCGGGTAGGTACATAGACCCCTGCCAAGGCTGAGTTCTCGGTCATAAAAAATAAATAAATAAAGAAGAAGAAGAAGAAAAAGATTGTTGGCCCTACAGAGTGAGAAAAGGGTCGGCTTCAATCCAAGATTCTATCCACATGATGGTGTATTATGACATACAGTTACTTGAATTAATTGTGACTTACTACTGTGATTTCTACTTTATGTAGTTTAAAATTTTACATTGAATATAAAGGAACATAGAGTGACCTGGTGTTGCAGCTTATCAGCATCCCGGCCATGAACTGGAACTGCAGTCCCGTAGACATGGAGTTCACGAACAATTGAGCACTTCCCAACGAGTTCTGGGCAAGTTACATTCCGGCCACATTTTCTTAAGCGCAGTAACCCAACAAGAATGTCCTGCATGCAGACACAGATTATGTTACAAGCAGCCTTGGTTGCTGTAAATAGCAAAGCCTATGAGAAACCAGTATCAAAAGATTCAAAACAAAGGATGGAATAATCATTTATCTTGAAAATGCTAGCAAAAACCACAAAAAAAACGGTTAGTTATGAATCGATAGAATCCAAAATCTGCCTAGAAACTATTCACAGAGGATGGCATCACCCAAGTTAATAATTGCGATGAGTAGCACCTTTAAGGTCCTCGTCACCCAGAAAGACAATGACCCCATGTAGACAGCATAGCACTGACTTGAGAAGTGAATTGCATGAAAAATGATTAGATTTCGACAGGCAAATAATGAATTTAAGTGTGTAAAAAGGCAATTGTTGTTAGAAAAGGAGGCATATATTTCTAACAAGAACCGTTAGAATCCTGGTACAAGGAATAACCTAATTCTGACATATTTTGAGAAGTTGGGCATGCTAACCGATTTATGTTAGTCAGATCTCAGTCATCAAAATCAATGCAACAATTCGTTGTAGTTGTTGTGATGTTTCCACAACACAGTTTAAATAGGTAGGATTCATAGTCTCACATGATTGACAACTGCTGAAAATGAAGAAAAATCAAGGCTCTGTTTGGTGTGATGTTTCTACAACACAATTTAAATAGGTAGGATTCATAGTTTCACATGATTGACAACTGCTGAAAATGAAGAAAAATTAAGGCTCTGTTTGGTAGAGCTTTGGAATTTTAATTCCACCCCTTCGTTTGCACGTAGTGTTTAGTTACAGTTTTAAAAAATTGATTCCACACCAACTTTTCAAAACACGTCTACCCAGCTATCCTCCCGGACGTCCCCTCGGACGTCTGGCCGGTTGAGCAACTAGTTGACCGGAATAGTATTTGTGTTTTTTGTTTTTGTTATTTTATGTTTTAAATAAAAAATATTTTGAATTTTTTTTCTTTGAATTTTTTATGAGTTTTGAATAGAATTTTGGGTTGTATATTTGGTTATAGGTTGTCAATTTTTTAATCAAATATCATATGTCACATCACTCAATTCAAACTCTTTTCAAAACTCATAACCAAATAAATTTTCCACACGCAAATCATAATTTCAAAACTCACAAACTCAAAATACAACTCTATTCTCAAATCATAATTTTAAAGCTCTACCAAACGCTACCTAACTCTGTCATATTATATTGCAACTAAAGGAATAACCGACGTCGGACAGAAATATAGTGACATATTCAATGAATCATAACAGTAAGTGGGCACCACATGAAAGATAGGTGAACTACCAATTCACTGCCATCATGCACTGATGGCCCTAAATCGGAGGTTTCCAACAACTTGTGAACAGAAAAGGTGCCTAGACACAATGCTGTATTTGGGATCAATATTGGAGCATGCTGACGTACCAATTGAGATGAAATGCAAAAGCAGTGGCAGAATGCACAATGGGGTGCGTGCGTATGTGGTGTTGGGATTGTTAAGGATTTTGGAGAGAGAAAGACCTGGCGTGTATCTTCATATGACAGAAACGTTTCCCAGCCCTCATTTGCAGTATAATCACGGCGGACAAGATCAACTTCTTCTGGTTTTATTTTGTGGTGAATGTCCTAAATACACAAAACAATTGGCAAAAATTTTAATTTAATGCAGTCTATAGCAGATAGCATGCCTAAATGACAATAAAAATGTTCACTTACCTGGATTCCAGCTTCACGTGTTCGAACATCTCGACATTTCAAGCCCAAGTCATCCATCCGAGCTAAGGCTAGCTCCCGAAGATTTCCTTTCTCAACCCCAGAAGTAACTAGAGGCATAGGAATATCCCGCTGAACTCTATAAACACGTGTCCAAGGGGGTACCATGGCTAGGATCCTAGCTACAATGTCCACAAGCTGCTCAGGTGGGTAGTTTCTATACCTGAACATGATATTAACTATTAATTACCGCTTTTCATTTGACCAGGCAATTTGTCAGCATAGTCAACACTGTATTTTATGATCGATATATATCAAGAAAGATCATTCTTAAAGAAATGAATCTTCACTTCAAATGACCCCCAAAAGGGACCCCCCAAAAAAAAAGTTGAGTCTTAAGACCTAAAAAAAACTAAAAATGACATTATACCTGCCAGTTTTCCAAAGCTCGTAAAGCCCAGTTCCACGAATAACAAGCGTAGGATAGATTTTAAGCCCATCAGCTCTGAATGAAGGGCTTTCAAAGAATTCTTTAAAACTTTCCATGTCCCTATCAACTCCAACGTTTGGAAGATCAGGCATCATATGAGCAACAACCTAGAAGAAATGCATCAAAATTGGTAACACGGAAAAAAAACAAAATCAAAGAAAGAACTATCCCCAAAAAATGCATGCTTAGACTAGTGAGGCACCAAACAAGTAGTTTCAAGGGGAATGACATTAAGATGGCATTAAATAGCAACAACTATGTGAAACATGTGTCTCTTATTATGCTAGACTAGAACAATGGGAACAACTCCCTTTAGAGTTTTTAAGAAATAATTCTGACTACTTGAACAGAGAGCATGGCCAAATTTGGAAATGTCATTCAAGAAGTCAAAGTTCAAGCTACTGATCATGTAAATGGAAAATCAACAGCGGCTAGAAGATGTGATTTTGTTAGGAAACAACCAACATTGCAACCACAAAAGTTTAAATTGAGATTCCAAACTGAAGGACTAAATTTATAAGATGGGACAGCGGAGAACCTTGAAACCAGCATCCTTTGCCAAGCAAAAGCAATCAGCCACGGCTGCTACTGTGTGGCCTCTATTGGTGTCACGAGCCACATCCTCATATGTGCTTTGAACTCCAATCTCCAGTCGTGTACAACCATAAGAAAGCATCTGCCTCAAATGAGGTCCAAGGCAATAATCGGGCCTCCTAATAGTTTTAAACATAATAAAAAAGCATCAAGTCAATTAAAATTTTCAAGCATACATCTTTATATTAATACATGAATAAACTAAAACTTTTAGCAGCAATTAGAATAATGAGGAAAGAAAGAACGGTAAGTTTTTATATTTTGAAAATTTACTGTAAATTTAACTCACGTTTCTATAGTCATCCCAATACACTTTACAGCACTGTGCTCAGAGTAGGAAACAGCCTCCTCAACATTAACAGAAGTGTGTCCCGATAAAGCATCATGAAGATTCCTTATAAAGTAATCACGGTAATCTGATGGTAATGACATGAAAGTACCTCCCATCAAGATGAATTCAACCTGCAAAACAAACGGTCATTTCCAACAAGTGAACAAGGATTTTTAAATACATATCATCTCATTTTGTACAATTGAAAGTAAAAATTGAAAAATATGGAAGACGACAAACCTTATCGACACTGTGGCCCAACCTTTTGAGTTGATCTATCCTGCTTCTAGCTTGAACAAACGGGTTATATCTAAAACCAATATTACATAGAGTGATTAACTCATGAAATATTAACTACAAGATATAGACACTCATAAACATTTTCACATAATGATAAACGAATTCTAGTAGATCCAAATTAATAAAACTAGAGATAAGGTGGAAAACCATTAGGTTATTAGCATTTTCTCATAATGCTGGTTATAACAAATTCACATTATAACACAAGGTGTGGCATTATTGGAGTCGGCACTTCTGTTTCTCCCTAATATATCAACAAATAGCAGCCACAATAGTGAAACCTCCCCTCACAGTGCATGTATATACTTTGTTCTTTACTATGCCGTCCTCATAGAAAATCTCAAGCTTCAACCAAATGATTCAAACTCCAATGTATTCATTTGAACACTAACTCCTCCCCCAAAAAAAGTCCCCCTATGACAATGCATAATCAATCAACTGCTCATTCACATATAAAACGCAAGCATACAACTACTATAAAAAATAATAATAACAAAAACTAAAAACAATCCTCATTTGATTGAAATAAAAGGAAAAAAAAAAAATCAAATGTTACATTCTACATAATTTTAGCCACTATAGCAAAAATTATATAAAAAGTATCAAAAATTAATACCAGAAAGCTATATATTCTATGAAGGTTTTGTTTTGTGCTCCAATCAGTGGAAAATCTAGTACAATTTTCTTAGCAACTCCTACAACTTTTCAGGAGCCAAATATCATGAAATAAGCTGTATTCCAAATTTCAATCATTTGATTGCTGAGAAATCTCATGAAACATAAAGATTTTTTTTTTTTTTTTGAATTCTACAGAATCTTAGTAAAAAAATAAATTTAAAAAATCAGCTAGAGAAAGGCACAATTGTCTAAGGTCTTGTGTTCCAAAAAAAAAAAAAACACTAGAGAGAGAGAGCCGTATATACTAGCGGGCACAACTGAATAAAGTTTTGTATTCCGATCAAAGGAAAATCTAGTACAATTTTCTCAACAACCAAACACAATCTGAATGTTCAATTCGCATCAATAAAACTAACCTGGCACGAATTGCGCGCATACTAGTGGGCTCATATCCAGTATACGACTGAGTACTATACTCAAAATCCGAATCAGGTCCTCCAGGACAGTACACACATATATTCCCAGTGGTGGCGATGTGAGGACAGCGGTGAGGCTTCGACATCACAGCCACGACGGCGATTCCGGAGGCGGTTCGAACCGGCTTGGCCTTGAGTTTGGGGAGGAGAGAGTCGCGGTCTGACTCGGGAAGCGCGGCGATCATCTCCACCAGTTTGGGGGCGCGTGAGAGGCCGTACTTACGGCAAGCGGCGGACTTGAGGGCGTTGAGATCGACGGTGTCGCCGGGGCGAGAGAGGTCGACCATGTTGTTGACGATCTCTGCTATGGCTCGGACTCGGGCTTCTTCTTCGGTGAGGTTGTGGGAGATTACGCCGCCTCGCCCTGGCCGTGGGAGCTTCCTGGAGTCGGCAACCGCCGCCGTCGCCATGAGAGAGAGATGGGGGAAGTCGTGTGCAGTGCGTAGTTGTTATTGGTTTGATACGATGCCTTTTTTCCCTGTTAAAAACAAAATTTTGTGTCGTAGGTGTTTTGGGAAAGCAGTAAAAAATCTTCTCTTTTTTTAGTTTTTTAACTTTTTTTTATA